ATGACAAATCCCAGGTTTGTTATTTTATTTACATTTATGTTATCACCTAAAGGTTTATTTCCAAGAACTATCAGGGTATTGTTGTAATGTCAAGCTTCTTCTTGGCGATTGGTAAAACAAAAGACTTTCCAGAGTTAAGGCAAAGACCATTTCTCTTAGACCACTGCTCAATGGCAGATAGATCATGGCTAAGTTGACGAATTATTAAATCTTGATTTTCAAAATTATTTGAAAGATATAGCTGGATGTCATCCGATAAGCATGCATTCTTGAAAACTGGCAAACACGAAAAATGTCATTGATAAATAAGCTAAATAAGAGGGGCCCTAGAATTGACCCTTGGGGAACTCCTGACGTAAGCTTTTCAGCTTTCGAGGTATTCGTACCAACCCTAACGCGTTGATGTCTGTCTGTAAGATAGTTCTTCAGAAGCTTTAATGAGTTTTCATCAAACCCATAATAGCATTTAAGCTTATGACATAATGATGAATAGTTTACCGAGTCAAACGCTTTTGAAAAATCCAGTAGACAAAGCAAAGTTAGCTGCTTCTTGTCAATCGGTAACCTAATATCGTCAAGAACTTTGAGCATGGCCGTTGTGCAACTATGTTTTGCCCTAAATCCCGATTGAAAAGGAGAAATAAGATTATATTTATGATTATGCACGCTAATTTGCTCAGCTAATAATGACTCAAAGGCCTTAGAAATTGCTGGCAAAATGCTAATAGGCCGAAAAGCACTAGGTTCACTAGCAGATGATTTCTTTGCGACCGGACGCACACACGCAATTTTCCACTCGTCTGGGAAACAAGAAGTTGTAATGCAATGGTTAATAACATGCGTAAGAGTACTAATGATATAAGGCAAGACAATCTTAATAAGTTTAATAGGCAGGCCGTCCTCTCCAATTGCATTAGACTTAATATTCAGAACACATCTAATGATATCACATTCAGAGACTGGGACAAAATTAAACCAGGGACCTGCGAATTTAGCAGCGGTTAGAGGAATAAATTGATTTTGAGGGACAACAGAAGGACATTTTATAAAAGTACTATCTAAGACTTCAACGTTTAATTTACAATCAGATACACTACGCGCACGTACAAGAAGATTTTTTAATATTACGCCACAAAACAAATGATGGGAGGGAGGGGTCTAATTTTGAGGTAAAAAACTTTCGCTTTCCCATTCTGATTATATATATAGCCTTATTTCTTGCGTTTTTAAATAATAACCAATTCCGTTCAGTGGAATTTCTTTTCCATGCCGTGTGCAATTTATTTCTGGCTTTTAGGGCTGTTTGAACCTTTTCATTAAACCATGGATAAGACATCGACATGT